TAGGCTATTCCTGTTGACATTTAGGGCTTTATACTACCATATTATACAAAACTACTATACTACCTGATCGTTCAGGGCTTCAAGGTTTTCGGATTAGGGCTGCAATCAGGGCTTGAGTCTCGGATTCAGGCGTTGGGTTTGGACGGGTTGAATATTTGGGGGTTTCCGAAAATAGGGACCCAAATATAGTACCCTAAATAGTAGGATCCCTATTATAAGGACCCCAGAATAAGGTACCCCTTGTTTTCGGAAACTCCCATTTCATTCATCTTTGAGCTTCAGTGTCTATGAGGTCTAGGATGTCGGGGCGGGCGTCGGGTGGACTGGAGCCATCTGACATGTCCCGCCCCTTTTGTCTGAAAAACTGAGTGAGGCTCGCGGGACGTCGTATAGTAGAAGGAAGAAAGCTGGAACATAATTACCCTCAGGCCCTTTAGGTAAAGTATAAGAGATTCTAGCACTGATCCTCCTAAACCCATGTTCCAACTTTGTGGGATGTGCTGTAAGTGGATTACAAGAAAAGCTATAAAGAGTGTAAGCTCACTTGGGTACTTATGACTTCACCTAGAACCTACTTGCTAAACCCCTTGATCTTCTAACTCGGTCTGGAACAGACAATGTCTTAGAGTGGGTTGAGCGATCAGGGCCATGGATTGTAATGTTTGGGGTCCAATCTTAAGCTCTAAACTAAACCCTAAACCGTAAGCCCTAAACCCAGAATCCCGAACCTCGCTCCAAACGTCTGAAGTCTTCATATTCCTCTGCGTCAGGGTTTAGGGGTTTAGGGTTAAGGGTTTACTTGTCAGATTCGAAACCTAACCCCGACGACCTCTACCCTCTACCCTGGTCTCCGGCACGAAAGAAAGCCCTAAACCCTCAACCCCAAGAAACACTATACATCCAAAGCCCCAAACCCTAAACTTAAACTCAAAACGCTAAACCCTAAAAGCCATATAACTTTAGACACCTTAGGATTCACATCCTAGCACGCCTTTGCGCAAGAACATGGCAAGCTCAGGAGCCTCCAGGGCACCCAAAGGGTCCGTAGATAGCGCCTCCGAAACGGGTGTCATGCAGGGGCCTTAATGATTAGAATGGGGTTTGAGCACCTTTATAGTCTAACTACAATAGAAAGGAACCCTAAAGAATAATCTTGGTAGATATTTAGACTTCTATAGTAAATTCGGGGTCTGCAAGGTGTATTAGGCTTTAGGCTTTAGGGTATATCTAGCCATCTGGGTGGTTGTCCAAGTTAGGTCTCTTTTGGGCTCCGCAACTCTAGGGTGCTGTGATAAGAGCAGAACTATATGGGACTCCCTAGAAGGGCCATGATCTTGACAAGGAATCTTTCTATCCATCCATCTATATTAATCAATATGCATTATGGCTCTTAGAGGGTTCGGGATGAAAATTGGGAACTTCCCTTGTTGACTGTAGAGTTTCAAACGAGGGTTTCGGGTTTTCAACCCGAAGAGAAGCCAAAGAATCCGACTCGCCCAAACGACCGTTGAAGCTCTTCCAGTCGATCCCCCTTAACTTACTTCCCCAATAAGCCAGGGAAGTAAAAGGTTAAACTTTCAGATTACTACTGAATGATAAGAACCCAAAAAGTTTAAAGGTTGGGTATTGGGAAACTAAGTTAAGATAAACCTTGCGACCCCACAGGGCCCACAAACGCCTCAACCCCGATCAGGCCTAACATCACAAAATCTCCGACTCCTCCCCCAACCCCACACCCCTAACCGGCCCCCCTTGGGCTTTTTGGTTTGACATTGAGGCTTTTAACCCCAAAGGCAGAACTGTTCAGGCCCTGTAAAACCCTAATTCACCAAACACACGCCGCAAGACCCAACACCGAAACAGTTAGTTCTTGATTTCTTAGTTTTGGCTCCCTAAACCCTAAACCCTAAACCCTAAACCCTAAACCCTGAACCCTAAACTCTAAACCCTAAACCCTAAACCCTCGAGCTAACCCGAAACCCTAGCTTGGTCGGCCTCTGCTGTGCTGCCCGTAGCTGGCCCGCTGACGGGGTCGCGAGTGGGCGGCCCCTGCGACGCGCTGTTTTGGGTGCCAGGTGCCGAGAATGGTAGGGCTTGCTGTAAAGATCAGGGGATGGCGCAAGTAGGTCAAGAACATACGTACTTCATGTGGCTTTTTGGGCTAATCATTGTAAATTATACTCGAGCCTGTAAACCCTAAGCCCCAAATCGTAGCAGGAAGTGGGTTGTAACAAGAGCTATCCTGATTGAAACCCCTGGACGCCAAGTCTCCGAATCCATCAAGTGTGGTTCAGGGGCTCGGATTGGTTTAAGGATATCGCAGTGCTTCTCCCGGGAAGATCGGTTCGCAGAGTCCTTGCTCGAGCACTCATGTGGTACCCCAGCCAGAGAGCAATCCAGAAGGCTGCTTGGGGCAGGCCACCTGCAGCTTGGTTACAGTCGACCCTGGAAGACCGAGTGCGAGCCGCGACCCCATGACGGATGCCCCGCCTGCTGTTTAGAGTTCAGGGTTGCCGGCCTGACGAACTGGCTCTTTCTTCTCGAAACCCTAAACCCTAAACCCTAAACCCCAGCTTTTCTCGAAGAGTGCGGCGTGAAAACGGCACATCACGTTCATTGCAGTACCTGCTGGGGGAGAGCAAGAGTCCTGGGCACTGACTCTGTCACGAAAAGGTTTAGGGTTGTGGGGTTTAGGGTTTAGGGTTTAGGGTTCAGGGTTTTGGGGTTTAGGGTTTTGGGGTTTATGGGTTCAGGGTTTTGGGGTTTGTGGGTTTAGGGTTTGGGGGTTTAGGGTTTTGGGGTTTGTGGGTTTAGGGTTTTGGGGTTTATGGGTTTATGGGTTTAGGGTTTAGGGGTTTAGGGTTTTGGGGTTTAGGGACAACTCATCTAGCCAGCCTTGTAGGTGCACGTAATATAGGGGCCTTAATAATTAGAATAGGGTTTCACAGGGCTCCTTCAACGGGTTCCTTAAAGGGTTCTGTAAGGGAGATACTACAAGGGTTTAGGGTTTAGGGGCCTTAATGATTCGAATAGGGCGGTGTATATTATACTATAAGTATAATAAGGAAACCACCAAAATAGTATAGGTAGTTATTAAAGCCCCAAAAGTACGTAAATCGCATGTGTTGGGTCTCAAATACTATAAACTGAACTGGTATGTCAAAACCTGCTACCTTTTCGGACATCAAAACCCCCAAAATGTCCGAGACCCTCCCCATAGTTCCCTTTGCTGCTTAACCGTTTTGTAAGTAGGGACCTACAATAAGGGAAGCGGCCTTAGCGGAAAGTACTATTTATCCTTGAGTCCGCGAGCTTCAAAAGGTCGCCCCCCATAGCCTGTAGCCTCTTCTGCCTCGAAAATTGGCGCACTCTGAACACAACTGTCGTCTTGGTTTATTGCCTGGTGGGGTTTAGGGTCTAGGGGTTTTGGGTTGGGGGTTTACGGATTAGGGGCT